ATTCTGACATTTCATAAATTTCTTATATCCCTAGATGGAAAAAAAAAGAGGGGGGGGGGGGGTAGTTGCTGAAGTTACATTCTAAGGAAACATTCCTTATTGTGTTATTTTGAAGTCTATTTGTTCATTTTTGAGTCTGCAACATCCACAAATCCCACAGGCTTTAAGCCCCTCAGTGTTACAGAACTAAGGAAAAAATTCTTTTCCATTATCAATAAATATATATGGCAGAGGATTCATGAAAATGAAAAGTGTAAATGAAATAAAAGCATAAAAACTATCAATCCATTACTCAAATGATGGCACAGAGAAAAGAAACTTTCAGCAACATAACCAGCCAGTACACTCCCAATTTGATCAAAAATAAATTCATGGCAGAGTGAAAGTAGGTAAAAGTAGCTGAAATCTCTCATTTCGACTTACATAACATCTACAGATACTGTTAAAATAAGACTTACTGTGCCAAGGAGACACTTTCAGCAAAGCAAAACTCATTTTGTGTATGACCTTTAAAAGTCATCAGTTTCAGATGACCTCCTCACATACAATGTAGTCCACCTTTTCAGTTAGTAATGAACTGTCTGCTCTAATACTTTCAGGTAAAGCGGCAGTTAAAGTTATAAATGTGGAGAAAATAAGTTCCCAGGCTTATCTTATTGGCTTCATCTTTTAAACGCCATCAGACCTGCACAACAAACTAACTTAATACAGCCCCAGAATAAAGTTATCAAGGTACCTGAAGCAGAACGTCTTGCATTTTTCATTTAAGTAAAATGTATGGCAAAACTGAACTTGTAAATATGTCAAAGCATGATAAATTCTTTTATACTTGGCACCGACTAGAGAAAAGATTTTAAATTTTAAAAGTGCTGTGCAACAGCTGATTACTTACTATCAATATTAATTTATAAAACAGTAAACTAATCCAGTATTTGCATGACCAGATACTACCACATACTTGGTGTAAAATAAAGTCATCATTTCAATTAAAGAAAACATCAGTTTTTAAACCCTTCTTGAAAATGCACAGGAAAGTGTTTTGATATGTATCACCTTGAAGAAAACCTTGCTAATGCTGTGTGACTGGCTTTCAAGATAAAATGCTCTCACTAGTGTAGAGAAACCATTTCTGCAAATTCAGAATATTAAAATGAAAAGTCAGTCAATAAAAGTACTGTGAGAGGAAAAATGATTTTTAAAAATAGGAGGGCTGGGAACAGGTGCTTAAATTATTTACTGTGTTCATGAGGGTATAGAGAGATATGTTCACATTTTTTTTCAGGTTGTAGGAGTTTGAGCTCACAGCAATTGGATTGGATTACTGAAGTACATTGTAATTGTTCTGGTGAACATTGATAATAGCCTATAGAATGACATACAGGATTGCAAACAAATGTCATAAACCCCTGTTAGCCTGATTGCAATAAATATAAGAAATCTCTAGACAGCTCTAGTTAAAGTCTTACTAAAAATAATTTTAAAAACCCTACTGCATAATTTCTATAACCAATTATTTAATTTGGTTCATGTTATTTTATGAAGATTGTCATTTTAATCTCACTTTTGTTGTTGTTGAAAGATGTAATTTAAATTATTATTGCATATCTAAACTGATAATGATTAAATTTGTACATTATATTACATTTTCTGTTAATTTGGGATTTCTCATATCTGTAAAACCAAAATGATAAATCAGCTGATGAAACTGTTTAACATCTGTGTGTGGCCTAATACTTATCCTTCAAGTCTATGAGTTTCGTTAATTATTTCACAAAGATACAGTGAAGAACCTTGATGAAAGTGGAAGTTTTGATAAAAAATCAACTGTTCATATTAAATAATTGGAGACGAAAAATGGATGAATAGTAGCTGATAATTGTTTAATAAATCAAATCTGATGATCCTTGGAAACTAACTTACTAATACTTAATATTGACTGTCTCCAGTGTCAACGTTTAATGAAGTTGGGGTGCCTAGAACAACTGCTTCATTTCCTGTATAACCACGATTCATTTGATGATCAATGACAGTCTGTACCTGAGGCAGGAGTCCTTTGTCAAAAAAAAAAAAAAAAAAAAAAAAAAAAAAAAAGCACAAAGTGGATATAGAAAGTCCTGGAAAGTTGGGTTGTGCAGTTATTTTTAACTGTCATATCTCCTGAATATTAGTCCTTGCAATGGGAAATATTATTTTTTGTTGTTGTTGTTCCTTCTCACTTCCCTCAACACTAATATCAGAAGATTTCAAAAAGTAAAGCAGTTTATGTAACAGAATTACAGAATTATAGAACAGCTGAGGTTGGAAGGAACCTCTGAAGGCCATTTGGTCCAACACCTTGAGAACCACCTAGGACAGGCTTTTCAGAACCACGTCCAGGCAGCTTCTGAATATCTCCAAGGATATGTCACACAACATCTTTGTGTGACCTGTTCCACTGCAAGGTCACCCACACAGTGAAGAAGTATTTCCTGATGTTCAAGTGAAACCTCCTGTGTTTCAGTTTGTGTTCCTTGCCTCTTGAATAGCTCATGGCTTCTTAGCTCAGGGGTCCTATAGAAGCAACTTTATCCCATTAATGGAACTTTTTACTCATTAAAAAACTGTTCACACCTAACAGATATTTACAGAGGATGCCCAAGTATAGATTGGCAGAACTTTGGTACAAAGTGGTTTGTAAGGTATTGTTTTGTGCCTCTTCAGGGTAAAGCTTTCTTACATGTTTGGCTTAGAATTGCACAAGCAGCCTCTTGTTTCTTTGTTTCCTGAAATGAGAAATATATTGTTTGCTCTATTCTAAGGGCAAAACTGGGAAATCTAAATTTGTAAAGAAATTTTATGAAAATTCAGCTGTTATGGATCAGTGGAAAAATTGGGAACTTAAATTCTTGTCATTAAATTCAGTGAGATTTCACTGGCCTTGTGTGGATGATAGATAAGTCACCTAATCTTCTTAATTTATCTCCTGTCCAGAGACTGAGTTCCATGCAGTGTTTTCCTACAGCATTGCACAGCTGTGTGGCCTTGGAAAAACAAGATACATAACTAGAAATTTTGGAGATTTTAGCAGCTTTCTAAGATGTTCTAGTTTAAAAGGTATTTCTCTTATTCCAGAAGTATATATTCTGGTTATGTTTCATGTCTCTATGCAAGATTCATGCCATTATTAGAACGACAGTAAAACTGTCTTGAAAAAAAAAAAAACAAACCTTTAGTAATGACAGAATTCCATATTCTCTTCAGGAGTTATTGTTAAAAGCATTTTCCATTTAGAAAAATGTAAATGGAGAATGAAAAAATAAAAATAAAAAATCACTATAGTGCTCTGATCAATTAGTTTGATTTAAAGTGTCTGGAAGCAGGGTTGTGTGTATAGTGGAGTAAGACCACCATATATGCTCATGCATATATGAAAATATGGAATATGAAAAAATACAGTGCAGTTACATTATATGGCTCTGCTTGAAGAGATTGCTCTAATGTCATAGTGTTTGTAGAAAACACAATCAGGAGAAACCTTCTAGATTGTCAATCCTGTCCCCACTATAGTGAGTAAATACAGATTATAATCCTGATCATAAATTTCACTTTTTGGACTCTGAATTTTATTTGCACTTAGACTTGACTGTGTACAGTAGAGCCCTGTCCTGTCTCCCACCTCCAAAATTATTTGATTTTTTTCTTATTTCTGTCCTAAAATTATACACTGTTAATTCATACTCATTTATTCTGGTGCCCTGTTCTTTATTTTAAATAGCTATTCTCTCTTCATGATATATATTCCTGGATGTATTTATAGAGAGCAATCAGGTCTTCTGGAATTAATACTTTTTAAATAGAAATTACTAATTACCTTCTTATTTCATGTAAATCTTATGGGCTGGAGGTCCTTTGCTAGCCTGGACTGGTGAGATTTACATCTTCATATATAGGGTGCTCTGTTTTTCTGGTCCTGTACCCCGTAGAAGCAGATACTCAAAGGGATAAAGGCAGAGAAAAGGAAGGTAGGAATATATTGAGCTGCCTGTGATGGCAAGGTTTAGGCATTTATCTACCTTTTATACCCATAATCCCACAGTTTTATGTTCCATCCTTCAGGAAAGCTGTACTTTTCTTTGCCTTTATTTTTCAACAGTATTTGTGGAAATACTTTGTTTATCCAAGTGCTGAGCTAATCTAACTCTGAACACCCGCATTAAATACGATCCATTTCTTAAAGGGAAGCAAGTTCATCTTTATCTGCTAAAGTTACAGTTTCCAAAAGACATTAGATATACATAATCAGACAATGCTCATTGTATTGAATTTCTATCTGTTTATTAGAGTTTCTATGTTGGCTAAATTTCGTTGATTTACAAAGCACCCCTTCTTAATTCTTTGCAAAGGCCATGATATAATTTACCCAGTCCCTCTCCAAAAAAAAGAAGGGGCAGTTGTATAAGCAGGTGTAAACATTAGATGTTCTCATGGTTGATGTTTCAAGAGGCTGTTATAACTGAAAAACAGCAATCCAGCAATTCCTCTATTTTACTAGGAAAAAACAGAACTACACATGTCAGACTTACGGGGAGCAGAAGGGAAGAAAAACTTTTGAACCAGACTCCCTCTGCCACCTTGCTAGTTGTTTTTCAATTGCAGATTAAAGGTCCATCACTGCAGGTCAGAAGGATTTAGATGGGGCTCAGAATGTGAATTCCCCCTCTCTGCGTGTCTCCCCCATGGAGCAAATATATCATGAGAATAACTGCCTTCCTTTGTCTGGATTCATCAGCTGTGTAAGAAAAGCTCATCTGTTTCAGTTTGGGAATGAAGCTCAATACACTTTGAGAACATCACTGCTGATAAGCAGGAAAATTCAAGAGGTTGTCGGAAATCAGTTTTGCTGGAGCTCTAGGTTCAGTTCACCTTCCTAGCTCACCAGAAGGATGTGTGAATAATTTCATCCCTCTAAAATGTTTTGAAGGAAACCACAGAAATGCTAAATAGCAAAGGTCCAAGAGCATCTAGGAACAGTTTAAGTAATGATGCCTCATATCAAAAGGAAGGAGCTTATATTAACAAGAATGTTGTGACGGTGAGGTTCACAAAATTACATTACATTAAATAGCTGCAGCTGTTACTTCACACTAACAGTGTGAAAGCACTATTACCTGTAACTGGGAGGATTTATGTCTATACCCTTTGTTAAATCTCTGCTTTCTATGTTTGATTTTGTGTTACTTCTAAACCATGGGTCAGCTGGGTATCTTCATATTTACTGTTTCAAAGGATCATAAGTGTGAGGAGAATTCTGAACTATCTAGTGAAAGAAAAGACAGGTCTATGATGGTTCAACAAGCTCAGTAAGGACTTGACAAGTAAACAGTTTTCATTAATGCTTAGCATCCCTGAACTGCTGACTCCTGGCCACCAAAGGATTATGAAGCTTTTATTCTCAAAGGAGAAACACTGGCTAAGGTGAGGTTTTCATTTTTATCTTGTTATTATTATTTTCATAAGAGGCATTTATGGTTTACTGCCAACACTAGAAAAATTGCACCTATAAACAAATTATACCATGATAGTATATGTAGCCTGTGAGGGGAGGAGCTGTTTGCAACATGCATTTTTACAACTTGCTATAAAAGAAATGCAATTTACACTTGCTGACATTGAACTCTCATCACAGTCAACCAGGTATTGCAAAGCATGTAACAGGGTGTGCTTTTCTCTTGTAAACAGAATTTATATATGATTCCTCACATCTTATCTCATTCACTTGATAAAGTATATGATTGGAAATACCCATACACACAGATAGCTAACATTCAGTATTTTCTCTTCTATCTTATTCCTGTTTCCCTTGGTTCCTTAGATGTGTTCTCTATGTAAGATTTAGAAATGCTAGCTTTTGTGGAAAAATACATTATTCTTCCACCTGTTTGAAAATCACCTAGCACTGTTGTGCTCATTATAAACAAAAAAGAAATCGAACAGTAAAGTTATTGTTGAAACAATTCTCTTAAAGGTGTACTCCTGGATTTTCAGTAAAGAAGCTGTCACTTTAAGGGAGATAGTATGAAAGGAGCCTTTTTTCAAATTGTGTTTATTATGGCATGTTTTTTTTGTTAGCTTCCTGCACTGATTCTGTACTGGAGACAGTTAAGATGTTACGTTTATGTTATGCTTCTATGGCAGTTCTTTATAATTTGCAGTTTTGATTTATAGTGTTGCTCTTATATAATTCAGTATGGGATATCTGCAGTAAAGTGTTTCAGGTGGCTGATTGTCTGTGAGCAAGCGTATTTCATGTTCAAAGTGTTTCTCTTTGTGAATATATGAATAGCCATTTAAGCTTTACAAATTATTACATGTGATTTGAATCACATGGATTGGTGAATAATAATGTATTGTGCATATAGATTTCCTATGAGGCACCTCTGTTCTGCCACTATAATTAATAAAATTTTTATTTTGATATTTTCTGTTTTGTTGTTCAACAGTCATTGCTGTCCTTTCTGCTAATGCTAATGGATTTTTTCATGGACATGGAAGTATATATTAGTTTACAGATTTCATCCAGTCAACAAAAGTACGTGGCTCCCTACATGTAATGGTCAGACATGTTCTCCTCTCCATCTGTGAAAATAATTTTGTAAGTGAAGGATCTTTTAATTATTAAAAACACAAACAACTAGCGAGTGTGAGGAAAGACCATATGAGGGTGAATACATATGGGCCAGAAAACTGTGAATGAAAGGTCACTAAAATGGTAAATTCTATACTTTTAAAAAGAAAGGGGGGGAGAGAGAGAGAACTTATATCCATACTTCATGGAAGGAATATAAAGCAATTGACCTTGACCTACTCTTTGTTAAGTTCTTCTGGCTGAGGTCTTAATTCCTGTGACTAGTTTGTGATTTCTGGTACCTCATTGTTCCACAGTAATAAATATTTTGCTATCCAAAAGGAGGTAGAGTTGCCCGTGAGTCGCAGAAACACCTAAGTTGGAAGAGACCTCCAAGATCACCTAGTCCAACCTCTGACCTAACACTAACAAGTCCTCCACTAAACCATATCACTAAGCTCTACATCTAAATGTCTTTTGAAGACTTCCAGGGATGGTGTCTCAACCACTTCCCTGGGCAGCCCATTCCAATGCCTAACAACCCTTTCGGTAAAGAAGTTCTTCCTAAAATCCAATGTAAACCTCTGCTGGCACAACTTTAGCCCATTCCCCCTCATCCAGTCACCAGGCACATGGGAGAACAGGCCAACCCCACCTCGCTACAGCCTCCTTTAAGGTATCTATAGAGTGTGATAAGGTTGCCCCTGAGCCTCCTCTTTTCCAGGCTAAACAACCCCAGCTCCCTCAGTCCTTGTAAGACTTGTTCTCCAGACTGTGCTTTCTGCTTCATATTGTGTTGTGTACAATAATACCTTACACAGCTGAGCCCTTCTTTAGACAGTATTCTCATTTCTGGTTAAAGTTAGGGATCTTCTCCCTGTTGCTGGAATATTAGCAGTCTTACTCAGTGCAGGCGTTGTCTGATCCATGCTCCCATATTTATGATTTAATGGGTCTTTATTTCAGGAGACTGAAAACTCTTCCAAGAGATCCTTTTCTCATTAATGGACTGACCTGGTAGACAACTGAGAGTGATCTTTTACTCCATTTCCAAGTAAGTATGGGGTGAGTGCTGACAAAGGGTGAAATGAATTTGAACACATTTCACCCTTGCATGAGAATGCATGAGAAGTAGGGTAGGTGGACAGGTAGTGAGGGGAGAGAGGCAAACCTCTCTGTGCTGTGATAACTGCATTAAAAAAGTAATGTTATGTACCATTTTCATTATGTGCTCTCTATTTCTTTTTGCTCATGCTCATCTTTGATTGCATCTAGTCTGGAGACAGGCATTGGTTTGCTAACATCAAGATTTCATATTTTTGCCTTGTGATCAGATCCCTCAGGATTTTTTCCTGTACTCCCCTCCTCTTTCTCCCAAATTTTGATAGACAATTACCAGAATATTCTTCTTCAAGGGTAGTGTTGCATCAGAATACAAAAATTCACATGAAAATGTTGATCTCTTTTGCACCATGCTTCATACAACTGCACGCTTCAGTAGTGAACCCAAAGTAATTTCTGAAAACAAAACAAAACAACAACAACAACAAACAAAAACAAAACCACCATAATTTACCATGAGGCATGACAAGAAATTCTGTCTCTCATACTTTGTTTGCATCTGGATTTTGATAGCAGTATAATTTGTTGGTAAGTGTAGAACTTTTGTCTTTGAATCCGTGCCATGATACAGTTCCTTATGTCAGGTTTACACTGATGATGTGGACCCTCTTTGTACTGAATGATGCTGACAGGAATAGATGACCAAACATTATACAAGGATTGATTTATGGCTGTCCTATAAAGACTGCCACGGCCAATTTTAAGATGCATCTTTCTACTTGTATCATATGGAAAAGAGAATCTGGGGAAAAGATCAGGGCAAAACAGGTGTGAGTCCTTCTGTGCTTGAACTAAGGATTATCTGTCATGTAAATGGATCTCTAATTAACCAGTCACATCACAGGTAAAGAAATGTAGAACTGTGAGCCTCCTTCTGCCTGAAAGCAAATTTTATTCTTAGTTGGTATCCATGTTGATGTGGGCTCATAAAAATTTCTGAAAGAGACAGCACTACTGTTCTCATGATGAAATTCTGGCTTAGAATTAAACTGTGGTAGAGCTGCTGCACTGGAGATGGGAGAATTTAATTCTACAGAAAATAGTGAAAAAAAGTTACTTACCAAGAAAAATGATGCACTATTCTGCTGGTAGGTTCCCTGACTATTTAAATAACATTTATTTATTTATTTATTTTTTACTCTATGATTTTGCCCCTCAGTTAGCACCAGATTGCTAGCTAGGGTTTGTCTTTTTTTGCCACTGTACAAGACTATATTTCCATTATAGCATGTCCCACTCTAGTTCAAGCACAGTGGTGGCCCTTTGGAGGTAAAGTGCAGAGAACTACAACTAGGACTACTGCCAGGACTCTAACAAGCTCTTTGGACATTGCTGTCTGTTTCTATTCATTGGTGTTTGAGGAAGAGCAGAAATGCCAAGCTGCAAGATTAGCTGTCTCCTAGTCTAGAATCAAAGGAGGATATAAAGGATGTGTCTTTGTCTTCTTATGACTCATTGATACCAGCAGTTTACTAGGGGCATACTCTATGCCAAGGCATAATTTAACAAGACAATTTTCAAATCATAGGCATAGATGGTGAATCTCAGGTGATTTGCTGACTTTGAAATTCATGACTGGAATGGGCTGATGTCTGATCTTGTCAAAGCTGCTGAATGAAGTCTTGAACCAGGTGATGCCTTGGATTCAGTGTTGTTCTTGATTGGTAAAGTTAATATGGACAGAAGCATCATATCAGAATGGAATGATAGCTGGATAAATAGCCTAGCTAAGTATTGATGAGATTAAAGTTCTAGAAAGGAGATGGTAGGAGTACCTGAAAATGTCTGCTTTGTGAGGTCTGCTTCTGGCAGAAGGAAAAGAGAAAGATTCAACAGATTTTGTCATGCAAGATAACATGCTTGGATGTTCATGTTCAATGAATCACGTTTCAGGAATGATTCACTGTCCTAGTTCAAATCTCTGAAGCTTTGAAGTGTTACTATGCCATTACTCTCATTCCTGCTAGTAAACATTTCCACTGAAGTCCATGAGTCTTGATATGACCAGATAGGACACCAGCATTAGCTTTCACAGACTTATCAAGACATCTATTTCCATGTTCAAAACCCAGCAAAATTCTTGGTCTGTCAGACCTTTTCAAGAAAAAAAAAAAAATAAATTATATATATATTTTTATACATTATTCTATGGTGATTATATATATATATATATATATATATATATATATATATATATATATATAATCACCATAGAATAATGCTTCAAAATCTTTGTTTAATTTCATTTTTGGCATTTCTATATTTCATTTTTCACCCTTTTAACATAGTGTTATCGAAACTGTTTTTGATTACTTGCAGGGCATTCCCATAGAAGCCAAGTGAATTTTAACAGTAAATTCAGTGGATCCAGGATCAGCTCTTTAGTGAATAAATAATTTTAATTTCAAGCAAACTCTTTCAACACTCTGAAAATATTCTAATGTCAAAGACTTGTACTCCTCACCACCATTAATATTCATTAGGAATTGAAAGAAACATGTATTAAGTTCCACTGGGGTTTAGCTTCTACTTTTGTGTTCTCACCAAAGTTTCTTTTAATGTATTCTGAAAAGTGTTTAGTAACCTTTATGTTCTTTAGTTGTGTGCAGGCATTTACACTTCTTCCTCCACAGAAATCACTGTCTGGTTCTGAATGTATTTTTGTTGTTTTCTGTCATATTGTGGACCTCCTTTGTGGTTTGTTGAGGCTGAGTGAATCTTCTGTTCATCTTGAATGAAAGCTGGTACAGAAAATTGGACACATTCACCAGAGTAATTGCATCCATTTGCAGTTCAACTTCCAGTGGTTTTGTTGCAGTGAGAGAATTGAGATGTGGTGACAGTATTAGACTTTTTGATGCAAAGCTACCTGAGATTCAAGTATGATCCATTCACTTTGTTTCTTTTTCTCTGGCAAACAGAAATTCTGCAGTAAAGATATTTGTTTTCCCAGCTACTGGCATCTAGACTGACTAACTCTCTTTTTCTTCTATTTCCACTTCTGTATTAAAAATTTTCCTGTAATCACGGTGTACTTATATTTTGTTGTATTTTGTTATGTTTATATTGCATTGAAAAACTATGTAAATGATTCTCCTGTATTGCAATATTATTATACGGTAAGAACTATAATGAAATGTCACCTTAACAACTGTCAAGAATATAATTTATCAAGATAATATATAGATTGTTGTCAAGCAATTTGAGAGTAAATTTCTGTGTTGTTTTTTTTTTTTTTTTTCTGTTGTTTAAGATTGCTCTTTTTATTGAATTGATCTTTGAAAATATTAGCTCTCATGTCTTTTGACTGATCTTAGTTTCACAAATGATTTATTGACAAAGATATGAATACATAAATCTCGAGGAAAACTCATTTTTGTACTTTAAACTGATACAGTTCACAAAGGAATAGTACTCTATTGTGCAAATGTGTTAAGAAAAAAGGTATTAATGTTTTAGATTTATACCATGAGAAATAGATATATATGCTTTTCAAGTTATTCTCATAGTAGCAATCATATTTTTTGTAGGTGTAAAATTAGTTGTTGGAAAACTCACATTTGCAATTAAGAGAAATCTACAGTAAGCCATTTGCAAGTCAATCAAGATATTGAAATTAATGAAGTGTTGTTTTTTTTTAGTATTGATAAACACAGTATTCAGTGTCAAATTGCTCTTTAATCCACAAACTGTTCAGAAGTCTAGATAATAGCATAAAAGGCTATTGCAAACCCTGATTTCCAAGTCTCACTATTATTCAGTCTCTTTCTGGTCCTATTAGTCTTGCTCTTAGCTACACAGTGACACAAATTTGCCAGAGGATAATGACAGCTCAGCTCGTTCACTGCAGTGCTTTCCTGGGAAAGGAGAGATGTGGTCTTATTCCTTCTCAAGCTATGGAGAAGACTCCTCTGTGTTTTAAAAATAAAAGCATGAAGTAGATGTATTACCCAAAAGAAAGATCCAAAGGTAACCAAGTGTAGGAACAGGAACAGTCTGTGAATCCCTAACACAGAAAAAAGACCAGACTAAGGGAGAGGGAGATTTCAGACGTACCCAGCTTCGTAAGTGTCTAGGTATTATGAAGAGTGTTGAGGGTTCCTTGATTTTTCAGTCACTGAAATTTTTTCAGTCGTTGGAACTAAAGAGCCAAAATATCTAAGAAAGTGGTTTAAGGATTTAATTCCCAGACAGATGCGGAAAAGTTAGCTATGGCTATACAGATATTCCTTGTGGATTGATGCCTAAGACCTTTCTCACAGAGTTTACAAAGTTTGTAAGATCTCAATATTCCTACAGGTTTGAAGGAAAAATGTGAACATTCAGCACATGCTGAAATGTGCATCACTTTGAGATGCATCTTCTTGATGTACTATAATGTATATTAGAAGCCAATATATATTTTAGATCGCCAAAATCTTTGTCCATTTGACATATTTTACAGACAATTAAGCACTATGGTTTTATTTTGTTAATGAGCCAAAAATCGAAGATGGAACTCTTACATTTCAGAAAATGAAATATGCCATGAATGGTAAAGAAAGTGTGGTGGTTTTTTTCAGTGATTAGTTTGGGGCTGTTGGTTGATGTCTAAAAGAGTTATAAATCTCTTTTTCCCTCCCAAAGAAGGAGTTTGGAGCCCAGTCTGAGCTGTGTTGTTGACAGATGGTAGGCAGAACAAGAGATACATGAAAAGGTCCCAGTGGGCAACTGTGAAAGATGTTAATTTTGTAGATATTACAGATCTTGCTTGTTCACTTGCTTTTTGTTTTGTTGTTGTTGTTGGTAGACTGATTAAAAAGGTATGCCAAATAAGTGGTGGAAAGTTTACAATTATACAATTTACAATCACAAATGAAAGTCTGGGTGCTCTAGCTATGTTTAAATGTTCTTCAAGAACATTACTTGGTGTTCACTCTCATCTTAGGCAGCA